TGCAGTTAACATGTCTTTTTTTCTGACCCCGCTGACCCAGTGAGAATTTTGCTGTCCAATGGTCATGTCTTAAAGGGTTAGATCACCCAAAACTGAAAATTAGCCCATAAATTACTCAAGTCATCCTAGGTGTATATGACTTTCTTCTTTCAGACGAATCCAGTCGGAGTTATATAAAAAATTGTCTTTGATCTTTCAAGCTGTTTAATGGCACTCAGCGGGTGTTGCATGCATCAGTCCAAAAGAAGTTAAATAAAAAGCGCCCATCCATAAAAATAAAAAAAAGTGTCTCACACGGCTCCAGGGGGTGAACAACGGCCCCCTGTAGCAAATCGATGCATTTTTGTAAGAAAAATATGCATATTCAAAATGTAATAATCACTTTAATGTAGGTTGCGCCAACAGTTGTACACGAAAGCAGTTCTGGGCAGAAGGCCTTTGTTCACCCCCCGGAGCCATGTGAGACACTTTTTTTAAATGGATGGTCGCTTTTTATTTAATTTATTTTGGACTGATGCATGCAACAACCGCTGAGTGGCATTGAACAGCTTGAAAGATCAAAGACAATTTTTTTTATATAACTCCGACTGGATTTGTCTGAAAGAAGAAAGTCATATACACCTAGGATGACTTGAGGGTGAGTAATTTATGGGCTAATTTTCAGTTTTGGATGAACAAACCTTTTATCTTTGCAATTTCTGTATTGCATTAGATTTGAACATTTCTCATGGGGATTTAATCGTTTTTGACTTTTCAGTCGGAGTTAAACCTCTTTTTTTGGCTAATTTTATCTGTAAAAGAAAACATGCCTAATAATTCTGCACACCTGAATATAAGGAGTTTTTCACTTCCAGCCTTCATGGACAATTATATATCACTTATAAACGATTAAATACAAAATTAATAGTAATTATTAAGATCGATGTGGTTTGGAATAGGTAAAATGTGCTTGGAAAAAAAGAAATAAGAATATCAACGTGCCTAATAATTATGCACATGGTGTAATGACACTAAACAATCATTTAAGGCAACCGACTAGTTCTTAAACTCAGTTCTTACAATAACAAAAAAGGTTTGTGTTGGTAAGATTTTTTTTTTATTATAATTATTTATTTATTTTTAAGAAGCCTTTATGCTCAATCAGGCTGTAATTATTTAATAAAATATACAGTAAAAGCAGTAATATTAAGGTTCTTTTTGCTGTTGTTGTTTTTTTACAATTTTAAATAACTGTTTTCTACGATATATTTCAAAATGTAATCATTCCTGTGTTGACAAAGCTGAATTTTCAGCATCATTATTTCAGTCTTTAGAGTCACATAATCCTTCAGAAATAATTTTAATATGTTAAAGAAATATTTCTGATTATTATCCAAGTTGAAAGCAGTTGTGCTACTAATATTTTTGTGAAAAGCCATGATGCATTTTTTCAGGATTTTTTGATAGAACGAAAGTTTAAAAAAATAACTTTATTGAAATAGAAGTCTTTTGTAACATTATGAATGTCTTAACTGTTACTTTTAATCAATTGTATGCATCCTTGCTTAAAATTTCTTTCAAAAAAAAAAAATCTTACTTACCCCAATCATTTAAATGGCAGTGTAGCTAGTTTCTTTCATACCTTTACACATTCTCTTTCTTTTAACATAATAGAGATAACTTAACTAAATTGCAATGCAACAAGTTTTACATTTGGTTCCTGATCATGCTGTGAGAGATTATTTAATGACCAGCTGACTGTACAGTACTTTTTTTGATTACTTAAAAAAAAAAAAAAAAAAAAAACAGATAAAAAATTACATGCAAGTTTGTTTTTCTTGCAAAGCTACCGTACTGCTTCAAGAAACTATATGGGCAGTCTTCTCTTTTTTGAATTACCATCCAATTATGTTAGTACGTTTTCAAGCAAGAAGGGGAAAACTTTGGATCTCGGCATGATGTCTAGCTCTTGAGGATCTTTTGGTCTACTTCACTTTGTCAGGCAGATCCTATTTAAGATATTTCTTGATTGCAAACAGGTGTGGCAGTAATCAGGCCTGGGTGTGGCTAGAGAAATTGAACTCAGGTGTGATAAACCACACTTCTTCACACAGGGCCATGTAGTTTTGGATTTTGTTTTCCCTTAATAATAAAAACCTTCATTTAAAAACTGCATGTTGTGTTTACTTATCTTTGACTAATATTTAAATTTGTTTGATGATCTGAAACATTAAAGTGTGACAAATGCAAAAAAAAAAAAGAAATCAGGAGGGAGCCAACACTTTTTCACACCACTGTACGTGCTGAAACAACAAATGAGTGCGTAAAATATGGCAAAGTTTTCTCTTTTGGTTGAAGTACTCTTTTAACAGAGATGTACTTGCTACGATTTGCTGGTTTCTTATACAAGGACTTGACTTGTTGCTCTGACTGAGGTGAGGCAGGTCTGATGAGAATATAGGACAAATGAAAAGGAACAACATTCAACAAGAGAATAGTGGGGACTAAAGTGCCATCTAGTGCCAACCCTTAAAGTACTTTGGTAAATGCTCATTAATCAACATCAACATTAATATCTGATAATTCATGCCTGCATACTCAATCATGTGAGTCTTGACACTTTTTGGTTAAATATCCTGATAATCAAAGCTGTTTTAGGTTGTTAGTTCTTTGTGCCTGTTTAAGGAAGCTAAATGAGGTATCAACTAAGAAAGTCTGTTAAAGCAAGGCTGTCTTGCTTCAAAAGAGGCACAACATCAATGTAGGGTTTGTGGGGTTTTTTTTAAGCCGACAAGCCCCTACAGTCTTTCCCTCTCTCATGCATAGACACACAGAAAAAAAATAACACAAACACACTCACAGAAACCAAAAGAAAAAACAGCCTCCTTTGTGAATTGCTATCACCAATCTGAGCATCCTCCTCATGTTTCGGATGCTAAACACTGGAGCTATTAGAAACGGTTTCCTGAAAGCTCTAGTCACATGATGGCTCTTGGAGAACATTGTGAAAAGGCTTCCACCTCTGTTTGGTTCCAAATGCGTCCCAGTTTTAATGCCCAGCATGCCTTTGCCAGGCCACAAGACTGATGGCAATGACCATTTCGACATTCTGTTTGGAGGACAGGTTGCCCAAAGTCTCTCTCAGATTTTGAAAAAGCTGTTTTGACCAAATTACTTTGCTATTTTGTCACCCTTTTTATAAATTTAGGTGCAAATCAAAGTGCACCTCTATATCTTTTACAGGTTTGATGTACAGAACAGAGAATACAATAGTGTTTGCCTAAAAGACACAAAACATTACTGTCATCATAACATGGCAGTGTATCAAATGGTAATTTCATAACATTTTGAAATTTACCATGGCGCATGTACCATCATATTAACATAGACCTTCAAAGAATACCATTGTACTACCATGGTGAACATCCAAACTATCATGGCACTACCATGTAAAACACAAAACAAGGTGGTATTACAGTACTTTTTATTAGAAATGTATCATTCTTGTTATTGCTAACTGAAACTATTAAAATTGTTTTTGGTAAGTGAAATAAAGCTGAAATAAAATATAAATATTAAATGAAAAAGTAAAAAAAAATAGAAATGTTGTCTTGGCAGCTATCTTCTAAGCTTAACGTTTAAGTTGAAGTACTAGGTCAAGTTAAATTAAAAAGAAATTTAAAAAAGTGAACCAATAAAAAAAAACACAAAATTACTAAAACTAGGATTTAAATGAAAATTAAAAATTATTAGAATTCAAAATATTTATATAACAGCATATAAATAATACTAAAATAATACTGGAATGCATCATATATTAAAAATATTTTCAATTATAGCTGATAACCAATAAATTGCAGGTATTAAAGGGGTCATGTGATGTTGCTAAAAAGAATGGCCATCATATTGTGATGATGCCCTGTCCGGACAGAGCGACGAGACAAACATTAAAACCCATTATAAACGAGGCATTTGTTGCATCCAGTGGGGACATAATTACGGATTATGACTTATACTCTCTTTTTACACGTTGCGTTGCATCGCGCCGCGTAAACATAAAACCATGTCTGCATTTGTGATCGGAGAAATGACAAACAAGCGCTACTCTACACTGCCCAAAACTCATGTTTGAATCGTCAGTGGCAAATCCTTTAAATGAAAACTTACTTGCAGTAAGTCAGAACAGCCGGCATTGTAGTCTACTCATTCAGGATCAGGAAACAGTCCTCCATAAAATGTGCTGCACACAAATTAATATTTGGGTTGAACTGTTCTGGAACAGTGTTGTAAATACAACTTAACCACTGATTTCTAGTCATGTCCTCTTTTGGAAGGCCAAACAAAGTAGTTTCGCTTTCACAACGAAACACACGGCGGGCTTGAGTGAGCGGCGGCAGGCGGGCTTGAGAACGGCGTGGCCGGAGGGCTTGCGGCAACCACATGTGACGATCCCGGGCTGGACTCCACTTCGTCTACAGTGAAAGGTTTTAGGCAGGCGTGGCTGACTCTTAACTTTTATAAAGAATATCTCTTTGGATTTGAGACTTTAGTCTTTGCAACTTTACAGATCTTCTTTATGCACCAAGAGCTTGTAACACTCCAAAGAGAAAGGAAAAATTTAAATAGCATCATATGACCCCTTTAAAATTCTATCTTATAAAATAATAAACACTAAAATTAACATTTTAATGTACAGTGAAAAAAAAACAATATTCATTTAGAGATTTTATTTACTTTTAACAACTATAAAAATCCTAATATTTTTAAAGATTTACTTTAAGCTAACGTTAGATGATGGCAAAGGTAATCTAAAATTTATAAATTGGGGAAATATACAATTAAATATCCAATTTTGACCAATACCGACAAATTAAACAAACATTCAAAACATTCAAATATATCGTATAGTGCTTCTTTTCATACTTTTTGGTATGAATGCACCAGATTTATCAACAAGGAGCATATAAATGTGAGAACAGTGAAAACAATTACTTTACTGTACACAGAGCTGAGTCAGATACCTGTAAACTGGCTGCATTTCACGTGCAATTCCAATGACAGCCTCAGTAGGGAATTGGTTAAACTCTTGGAAGAGGTCTCTGATGTTGCTTCTGAATTTGAGGTCCAGGTCCAACTGAACAATGCGCTTCAGTTCTAGGGTGCAAAAGAAAGAGAAAGTAAAGCAAATCTGTATGAAATTAACAAACACTAAAATAATCACATCCTATGGGTTGTGAACAGTGCTACATGCAATGAATCAGAGATATTATATTGTTTCTTCGCGTGTTCTATAATGCAGAAGACCCATAACATAGTTGAAATAACAAATGATGGAACATCATCATCTGGAGGGGTTCTCTCACATCGGATGGCCTCACGTTCTTCGTGTGAGCCCACTGGACAACGAACAAAGCCCTCAAGACAACATTCAGGACACACCATTGTGGAGCAGAGGCCACGCACACAATGACACACTTTCGGAAAGCAAAACATAGGGGGCCCTAACTATGCTTGTTGTAATTAGAACAATGAAAAGAGAGCAGCCAGCCGGAGCTGTTTAGTTGGTCAGGCATTTCACACCGACGTCTCTCCAAACAAGCACCGGAAACTGGACAAATCAATATCAACAATCTCAGCGCTCCCCTCCAAACACACAGTCTGACTACAAAACACTTCATGAGAAATGATAAAAGGAGGACAAGTGCTGAATTTGTATGAAACAGGAAGCACATCCACAGTGTATGGAGATCAAAAACAAAACCTAGAGATGTAAAAACATTTTTTTTATAAATGTTAAACTAATTTATCCTCTCCCAGTTCAATGAGCTTTAATAATCAGCTGGAAGTAGATAATAGTACACTCTACACTAGAAGAACTAAAATTATTATAAGTAGTATTTAATTCATATTTATTAATACTTTTATTCAGCATACAATTTATCAAAAGTGACAGTAAAGACATTTATAATTTTATAAAATATTTTAAATAATATAATTTTAAATAAATGCTGTTCTTTTGAACTTTTTATTCATCAAAGAGTCTTGAAAAAAAAGTGCATCACAGTTTCCACAAAAATATTCAGCAGCACAACTGTTTTCAACACTGATAATAAAAAAAATTCTTGAGCAGCAAATCGGCATATGATTTCTGAAGGATCATGTGACACTGAAGTCTGGAGTAATGATGCTGAAAAGCATTGCCAGCACGCCAATAAATTACATTTTACAATATACTAAAACAGAAAACTGTTATTTTAAAATATTGCTCGTTTTACTGTATTTTGTTCAAATAAATGCAGCCTTAATGTTAAGTTGTAACACTAACTAACATTAACCAGGATTAATAAATGCTGTTAAAAGTTAGTTCTGTATTTTTAATGCATTAATATTAACAAAGAAGAACTGTTACCAAAACAATCTATTCTACAGTACACGATTTCATTCTGATGTGACTATTTAGCAGAGCACTATTAAAACCAACAACAAAAACAGGCAGTGTTTATTTATAATATCGACCATGATATTTCTTATTTGTCATATTTTATGATTTAGTTTGGTGCCACTATTGGTCCTGAAACTTCTGAAAATGAAAAAGCTCTGAAATGAGCAAATCCCAAAGACCAACCTTGACTCCCCAGTTTGAATAAGGACCATTTTTACCCTCCAAAAATGAGAGTTGCTTCAAACCTCCAAAAATAAAACCCATGCATCACAGTACACCAGATCAAAAAAGGAACAATCGCTTTGGGCAGGATGAGCCACAGAGGCTTGGTGTGCACCTGAGGGCATGTCAGCAAGCACGTTAAAATGCCCCTTTGAAGCATTAACCACTGCACTAATTCATTTTATTGGGCCTCTGTAGCCTGAAGCAATAGGCTGAAGACTTTCAAGAAACAGGACCACGTGAAGTTCACCAGCTCCATCATCACCAGGCCCAAGGTGCTGGAGACATGCCAATGGAGCTTTATAAACAAAATTTCTTGTTTTAGCTGAGTGCATACACATCTAGGACATTCCCAGCATGTTTACAGCCAAGGGAACACACAGTTGAACATGCTCAAAAATAGCCTGGTCATCTAAAATGACTAGGGGCGCTGAAGCTTGACATACTTTTAAGAGAGTGGCTGTGTTTTACAGATGTAAGAGTTTTGCACTAGCTTTTAACAGCATCATCTTGGGACATATCTGACTCTTTTAGGTTGCCCCTTCTTTTGAGATATACAGTAATCCTCCTGCAAATTAATTATGTATTCACAATTTGAAAACCTATTAAGGTGAATAATACAAAGTAATCCAAGTAATCTACTTTATCACTAAAAGTATGGAGCAGGTGGAATTCCATCTGTTCTCTGTGGATTATGGCTTTATTGCCTTCCCCAGTGAAAACAGCAGCAAGTGATATAGGCTGATATAGGTCAACTTCATTACGACATTAAAACCTGGTCTTATCTGGCCATTCTCCATCAAGAAGAAAAATATCTCAAGTGGTAAATAGTTAAATGCAATGGGGGGAGTTAAAATATGGTATGAAAGATCACATCCTATAGAAATGGAAACCTCTTTCTGGGACCTTCCACATGATCATGAAAATGTTCTTCCAAGAAAAAGGTTTCCATTTTTATAGGGTGTGATCTTTGCATGCAGACATATGGAGTCACATGACTGACTCTAGGATCTTTGACAACTGTTTTTTTTTTTTTTTTTAAAGGTTGAGTTTGTCATTTTGAAACTTTAAAAAAAGTAACTTTTTAACAGTTATCAATGATCCTAGAGTCAAATATAAATGACATTGCATAAAGTTTCAAAATGATGAAATTTCCAGATGCATGTGTGTTTACGTTCTGACAGTAACTCCTTAGCATAGTGACTCAATTCTAGATAAGTCATATGGCAAATGAGTTACACAAAGATATCACAGTTGTTTCTTTTTAAGTATATCAAAGGTCTAATTTGTTCTTCAAAGCATAGAATACAATTCACCTTTTGAGTTTGAATGTTGATAAAACAATATCTGAGGTGGTTTTAGAAATCACCTAGATATGGTTTGTTTTGATATTTTTAGCCTCTCCCTTATTTTCCATTAAACAGACAAAAGATAGTATTTGCTACACTCTTTGAGTATTGAAATTTTGTCTGCAACTACATATAAATCGAACACTGTCCCAACCAAACACAACATGATAAAGCGACTGTTGTTATGCAGCATTGTTAGTGTTAACTAAAATTATTATTTTTTTTTTAATTAAAAAAAGATTTAGTTAACTGAAAAAAAGCTCAAGTAAAATAAAAATATAAATATTTGAAGAAAAACTTAAATTAAAATTAGAAATGTTGCCCTGGCAGTTAACTGAATAAAATAAGTTTTAGTTGATAAACTAAAATTACTAAAACTAAAGCTGAAATAAATAAAAATGAAAGTTAAATATATTCAAAACTAATAAAAATGACAAAAGCACATAAGATTACTAAAACTTAACCTAAAATTAAAATGAAAACAAAATATAAAAACTGATTTAAAATATTAATAAATGCTATTAATAACACTCAAATAATGCTAAATCTTATTTTAAAAATAATACAAAAAGATTTCATCTTTGTGGTGTCGTGCCAGACAGCCGTGTCAACACTAAAATGTCAGTGGACCTTGTCTTATTGCATATTAAATCATCATCAAAATTTTATGGTTGATCAATCAATCAGCCATAAAAAGCGAGAAAAAAGTCAGATACTTCAATGTATGTGTTTTTAATTGTATGCTCTTCAGCTGCAGTATTAGAAATGTTTGCTTTAGTTCACAAACAGGCAGAACAGTTCTGATTGGTGGATCTGTTTCGTGATTGAATGCCATTCTTGTCATTTCGTGTCTGGTTAGCACACAGTGTAAACCTGTATATAAAGTTGTGTTGAAACCTCTAATAAGATCAATGAAATCAAAGACATTACTGGGAATAAACACTTAAATATGTACCTTTAGATGTTCTTCTTTAGATCTGTTTTCCAGCAGACAATAAAAACAACTGCTACAGAAACTGAAAGTAGCAGACTTCTGTGTTCACAAACGCATTGCTCTTGAGGCAGCCAAAGAGTCTTAAAACACAGGCTTTCTGTTCCCTCACGAGCTGCGAACACATGGCAATGCTTCACAATAAGAGAAAATTCATAGCCACTTGAAACAAGGGCCAATTATTTTCACAGCTCCTACTGTCACTTGGGCTAAGCAGTTAATATAGCAGCCCACCTCCAAGATCAATGTTGCTTTAATGAACAGCCAAATCCCTCACAGCAATATGACAGAATATAAAACTAGAGCAAGTATTTTATTTTTTTATTTTTAATCACTGGGCATGTGATTCTTTTTCCCCTGGTCATTTTTCAAAAGAACAAAAAATCTATCATTATGGACCGAGCACCTAATCTTGCTCTTTTAGACCCCAAAAAAACCCTAATTTTAGCTCAGTGGGCCAGTGGTCTTCCAGGGATAAAGTGAGACGGATGGTGTCAGTCTCTTCCTCAGGGCTCACTTATTCAGCCTCTCAGCTGGCTGGTATTGACCGCCCTGTTGGTAAAGAGTCGATGACCGGAATAAGCCTGGGGTGAGACGGCGAGAGTCATGCAAGCAGACAGACCGCCTCCTGACATAGAGAAATCAGGACGGAATTCCTTGAGGTGGGTTTGAGTAGCCAGTCAGTGGGTCAAAAGGAAATGAAAGACCACTGTTAAAGGAATAGTTGGCCCAAAAATGAAAATTCACCCTCATGTTGTTCCAAGTGTAAACACAAATGCAGAACAGCTGTGGTCATTACGAACTACCACTGTATGGAAAGTGAAGAGCCTTCAAAATACCATCCACAAAAGTAATTTTTGGAATCTTGGAACAAAACGAGGGTGAGTTAATAATGAGTTAAGTTATAATTACAACATGAAAAACAACACAATAGAGGATTCAAAATGAAACTGCGCAACTTTTTGAGCAACTAAAATAACGACTTTATTCAACAATTCTTATGCATCGTGCTACACTCATGAATGGTGGCAGAGAGGAATTGTTGAATAAAGTTGTTATTTTTGTTTTCCTTGTGCACAAAAAGTATTCTCGTAGCATCATAAAATTAAACCAGTTGAACCACTGATGTCACATGGACTATTTTAACGATGTCCTTACTTTGTTTCTGGGCCTTAAACGTAGTAGTTCCCTTGCTGTCTATGCAGGCTAAGAAAACTCTCGGATTTCAACAAAAATATCTTAATTTATCTTCTGAAGATGAACGAAGGTCTTATGGGTTTGGAACGACATGAAGGCGAGTAATTAATGACAGAATTTTCATTTTTGGGTGAACTATCCCTTTAATGCCTTAGGTAACTTAACAATATACAACGATTTTTACAGCATTTATTAATCTAGGCTAATGTTAATGTCCTGTTGTTCATTGTTTATGTTCAGTGTTGATTTAAAACACTTTAAAATGTTTTAAATCTTTAAAACTCGTGGTTAGTACTCCGACATATACAGCTCAACTGTGTTCACGCCACGGCGACCCGAGTTCGATTCCCGTCTTGAGGTCCAATGCCGGTCCCGCTCCCTTCTCTCTACCCAATACTTTTCTGTCATCTCTCCACTGTCCTGTCTGAATAACAAAAGAATAAAAAGCCCAAAGATATAACAAAAAAAAAAGAAGAAAAGATTATAAAAGAGTAAAAGCACTGTTCATTGTTATTTCTGCTATTGCAGTAGCTAATGTTAGCATATAGATCCATTCAAAAGTTTGGTGTCAGTAAGATATTTATTCACTTTTATTCAAAAGTGACAGTTAAGATATTTATAATGTCACAAAAGATTTCTAATTCAAATAAATGTTGTTCTTTTCCAATTTAGTCAAACAGTCCTGAAAAATCATGGTTTCCACAAAAATATTAAGCAACACAACTGTTTTCAACATTAATAATAATAAGAAATCCTTCATAAGCAGCAAATCAGCATATTACAATGATTTCTGAAGGGTCTTGTGACACTGAAAATTTTGCTTTACGCCACAAGAATGAATTATATTTTAAAATATATTAAAATAGAAAACAATTAGTTTAATTTGTTACATCATTTCACAATATTACGGTCTTTACTGTATTTTTGATCAAATAAATGCAGCCTTGATGAGCATTAGAGACTTAATTAGAAACATATTTAAAAATCTTACTGACCACAAACATTATAAAAAGTGCTTTGTAAAGAGTTACTAGTGAAGTTTTCTTGATAAATGTTTGCAAGATGCTAGATGTAAATTTGCCTGACTGAATCAAAGCATTTATGCCTTATTGGGTCCCAGAAACAGAAGGGAACAATAAAAAGATACAGCGCTGACAAACTGCACACAAGTGTCTGAACTTTCTGAATTATTGATAATCCAGGTCACAAAAAAGAAATGGATTCCTTTATAGTCAGCATAGAGAGTCGATATGACTCGATATAGAGAGTATTCATACACACATGGATAATTTCTATTTCAGTGACCTACGTGAGAACAATAAAGTGAGCTGACCTACTTCCTGTCAACCTGCAAATTGTTTGTCTCACACAGAAATTCAAAACGTAAAAAAATACAAGACTCATTCACCCCAAAGGCTACGCTCTCAACTCCCTTTCTTAGCCTTCCACACACACACGTCACTTTGACAGCGTGCTTTGGCACCCCTGCAGATATAAATGGCCCAATTGTAAAATCACAGGCTCTACACGACCCAGTGAATCAAGCTAGAAAGTGAACAACTCAGGAGGGAGTTTCTGACCGAATAAGGTGCACATATTAATAGGGTTGGGT